GGAAAAAATGTTTGTGATGTTGCCACATCTTGTGTCCCTCTTTACAAGCTAAGAAGAAGAAGGTGGAAATGAAAAATCCCTTGACTTCCTGTGGAAAATTGTGTTACATGTTCCTACAATTAGGTGTTAAGGGCAGAGAAAGGAAAACTAGAGATACATTGTCATTTTCAGCTACAATTCCAAATCATGTCTCCTTCCAACCACAAAAGCATAGTTCCGGTGGCTGAAATAGAGATGGTAATCTCCAGCCCTTGGTAGAAAATGTCATCCATCTGGCTTCCTGTGATGATGGCACTGCTACAAATTGAGGGAGAGCTCAGAGATATGTTTGTGGTTTCTCACAAAGACATTAAACAAAAGGAAAAAGCACTTGCAGTACGGATGGCCTACTACTCCCCTTTATTTTGGTTGACCTTTAAGGCTGGCTAGATTTTGTTAAAATGTCTTTCTTTTGTGTCTTATGGATAAATATATTTTCTTTTATTGGGAAATAATATGATTTAATATCTCTTTTAGTTTGCCTATGCATAATTCGTTCTGGAATTTCTATCCAATCTAAAGCATTCTCTTTTTAAAAAAAATACCTTTTTCTTAAACAGATTTTCAATGTATGAAAGATCTGTATGTACCTGATTTGAATTTTCTCAGTGCAGCTCCCTCTGTTAGCTAAGGCTTCTAGCATCGTTCAGATGTTATTGATTTGCATTTCCTTGGGTTTCATTGAACTCAGAGATCTAACCATTTTCCTGAACCTTGCAGCAAAAAAAATGCATTTATCTCATTTTTCTTTGAGAACTACATTAATCTGTGGGTTCCTATATATTCAATGACTATAGTTATTAAAACATAACATAACATCATAACATTAAAAAATGAATGGTACTGTGTAGGGGGAAAATAATCAAACACACATCAATCAAAGGCTTATATTTAAATGCAAAGATACATTGGTAAAATTGCCAACTGGCACTGACTATATAGTATACTATATACTATATAAAGAAGATTATATGAAGATTAGCAGAATCAGATGGAGGCTGGAGAGGTGTGTTGATATGAAGTTTTAAGAAATGATCAGGGAAATGAAATAAGTGGTTGGATTGATTAGACTTTGGGGAAGACAATGAGACAATAACACTGTAAAAGACTTTAAGAGAGCTAACAGGAATTATTCATGGCACAATATAACTTACAGGCAGGATAGCAACAACTATTCCACATTCAATTTAGATAATGCTGGTTTTCTTGACGAAAGAACGAGAAATCAAAATAGCTATTGATGCCTGACAGAATCACAGAAACTGTGCACCTGTTTCTCAGTGGGACTCAATACTTCAGTGATAGATTCAGCAGGCCTGACATCTTAAGAAACCCTTTGAACAGCGCGTGTAATTATCTCTTGCAATGAGCAGGAAATAAAGAGATTTGCAAATTTCCTGAAAGGTCACAGATATTTATTTTTTAAAAAATCCTTTGATGTGAACTGGCACCAGTAGGTATATACTACAATAACAACTAAACTATGACCTTATTTGACATTTAATGTCTGAGGGAAAATTGACAGTTATTGTATAGACTTTTTCCTATGAAATAGAAATTATACAAATGTAACTACAAAATTACAAAGGTGGCTATTTGAAAAATTCTCTTTTAAAATTCAGTTCCCTCAAGAAAGGAACTTCTGGTAAGGCCGGGAGAGCATTTGAAAAGTGCTCACAAAGCATATTGATAGGAGCAAAGCTTCTCTCCATCTACCTCTGCAAAGCTTAGCACAGCTGCTGTGAGATTTCCCAAGTCACTTCTGCAAGGTCTGCATAGGTCAGGGGTCTTCAAACCTGGCCCTTTTATGACTTGTGGACTTGAACTCCCAGAATTCCTCAGCCAGTGTGCTTGGCTGAGGAATTCTGGGATTTGAAGCCCACAAGTCATAAAAGGGCCAAGTTTGAAGAACCCTGGCATAGGTTCTCTTTTTCACTGTTAAAAAAAATATCATTTTTGTTCCTGCTCCTGCCTGATATATCCATAGTTTTCCATATAATGATAAATCCCATTTTTAAATATATCATTTAAAATCACATTCCCATTTTCAAACCATATTAATGTTCCCCAAACAATATTAACAAATATATGGATTTGCAAGCCAAACAGGACAATGCCACATCATATATGTAAGTGCCTCATCTATTATTAATTCGTCTAGTTACATGGAAGTTTCAAATCATGGTTGAATAATGATCAACCTTTGATTTCTGTCCAAGACTTTTCAAATATACCTTGTTGCTTTTAACACTAGAAACACAGTAGAATTATTGCCGTAATGAAAAAGAAACCAAGTCCCTGCCATGATGTCAGAGGGGCTAGAACTAGATAATATAACTATCTAGTTGTGTCTATAGTGCTTTTTGCATGATTGCTATTTATTTCAGATTCTTTAAATTTATTTAATTTACAGTTAAAATTAAATTCATTTAATTTACAATTAAAATGTTCTTTCATTCAGGATTAAAGGCAGACACATCCAGCATTTTCAAAGTTGTCATTCCAAAGGTCTTTAATATCTCGGAAATAGTTAATTAGCAAGTGAGTTAATTAGAAAGTGAGGTTTGGAAACTTAGTGTGCTTTCAAAGTCTCCACTATGGTTGCAAGCAAGATGACTAATCATGTCATTTCCTGGTACTCAAATCAGCAGAAAGCCACTGTCCTGTGGGTCTGCTCACTGTCCTGTGGGTCCAGAACACATGTGGGGTTTTTTTCCATCCTCTCTTTATCCTGAGAGGTTCCATGGAACCAATCTGCTCATCGGTTCCTTGCCATTTGCCACAGTCATCGATTCCACTTTTGCAGAGTTTTTCCTTCAAAGGTTCACCATAACTCCTCTGGCTATCCAGAGCTCATAGAGCATATTTTAGACATTCTATATTGAATTGAATAACCTGGGGTAATGGTATGTGAACAAGGCCTTGAAGAAATGCTTCCTGTGGAATGTCAAATAAGCGAAGGCCTAGCCCACAAGCTGCGTAATAGGCAGAGAAAGGCCGAGAAAGAACCCTTCCTAGCTTTTCAGGCTGTAAAGGAGACCGTGAAAGATTTGTACTTTCAGACTTGCAAGATTCTGTTAATGTAGTTTTACAATAAAATAGTATTAGTTCATCTGCTCATTTTCCCCTTCTGGTCTACTTGGGAAGAATGACACCTAATAGGTGTTATAAAACTATTACACAATATTTATACATATATACATATATCAATAATACATAAAATATCATCAGCATATAATAACTCCAGCTGAAATTTTATTCCTAGAGTACCCTTATTAAAACAGAGCAGAAATTCCAAGGTCAGGTTCACTATATGAGTTAATCAAGGGGTGAAGTAATGATTGGAAGAGAAATCAAGGCATTATAAAAAAAAATGCTGGTCAAAGGATTAAAATACCACATTTTAATCTAATTAACAAAAAAAACCCAAAAACCTATTATTTCCTGAATAGATAGACATAAGCAGCTTCCTATTTATCTTCAGAAGAACCATATTATTATTTTTTTTTAAAAAAAATTCTTAATGATTTCCTTTGGATTCAGTATTGGAAATTTAAACATTAAACATTAGAAATGATTTATGAGTAACTGATTTATTAAAATAGAATCATTATTTGTGCTGAATTGTTTGTCTATTCTTGACAGTCAAAATAATATTGCTTTGTTATTCTTACTGCAGTTTCATTTAAGAACCTAATAATTTACCTGATCTTTCTCCTCACTAAGCTGAGCAATTTTTGTCTCAATTAAATCAATTACTAAAAAATTCAGCTCCAATATTTTTTGACTGGAAGCATCTCAAGTATTTGTTCTAGCACCAAAAAGCTTTAATTCCCAGCATATGAATATGTAAAAACAGTTGTTTTAGAAGACCATAAACCATGAGAGAAGCCTTTAAAGTTATTGGCTTTCAGGAATAAATTCATCAGCAGCTCAATCTTTCAATTGTTCTTCAACAATCTGAAGAAGCTGATGCCCCTCTGAAGAGGAGGAAGTGATTCCTATTTTCTCTGTCTTCCTGATTTCAAACCCATAATTAATCTAATGAAAGACACTACAAAACTGCAGTTTAGACGAAGGAAAACAAAAGAAGTTTTCTGCTTACTGATCAAGCAATCAAGCAATCAAAAGATCAGATAATCTCCTTGGATGTTCATAAATTCAGCTCATCACCACGCCAATCAGAAATCTTAACATTAGTGGGGTTTTTTTCTTACTTTTGGGGGGAGATTGAAGGATTATAGATGGGATATATTTGAGTGGTAATATTTTTTTGTTTAGTAGTTGTTTCTATTTATAAATTTATATTTTAATGATACTATTAATTATATGAAATGAAAATTTTCTTTATGTTAGTTAGGAAAGGATTATTGCTTAAATTACATATATAGATATAATAGTGTTTTTTAATTATGTGAATTTATTTTATTTTATTTTATTTTTAGTTTGTTTAAGGATTAGGTAGATTATAAATTAGTATAGTTGCAATATTCTATTTAGAGTTAAAGGGGTGTGTAGATTGTTAGTATTATAATTGTTTTAATTGGATTAATGATTGTAGAAGAATTATGGAAATATGAACTTGATCCTGTATTCAGCTCCGGGAAGCCGAGGAGGGTATGGGGGGAAAGCTAAAGTTAATGTATTGTGTATATTGGAAGATGTATATTTTACAAAAAATAAAAATTTTACAAGAAAAAAAAAAAAGAAAGAAATCTTAACATTAAAGTCAGATGTAAAATCAATAAATAGAAAGACAATGAGGGCAGATACCTTTTAGTAAAGTTGAAAATATTGGCAAAAATAGAAGATGAAAAAAAGATTTCAGTGATTTGGGTTTATTCAACTCTTCAGGATTATAAAAGTATTTCAAGGGATGAAAACAGTTTTTTTACAGTTTCCTCATATCATATTTTATGAGTTCACTATTTCAACTTGTATTTTTTTTTTCTTTTCGTTAGCACTCGAAAGAAAAATATCAATGAGGCAAAGCAGAGAGGAACTTATCAAGAGAGGAGTTCTGAAGGAAATATATGACAAAGGTAAGAAACACTGTCAACTCACAGTGACAGTGGGGTGTGTGGATAATATTATTTGTTTTTGCAAGAATTTCTTGTAGCAAGTCCAAAACTTGGATCTGGATTTTTATAATAGCTGGACTCCAAACAATAATAAGCAATAAATTCAAATGCACTCAGGAGCAGCTTTTGTATTAAAGTTAAAATATTGAGAGGTCCTGGGTGCTCTCTGAGCTTGTTTTCTTGCAGACGTTTCATTACCCTAACTAGGTAACATCATCAGTGCTAGTAAGGAGTGCTGTTTGCTGTCCGTTTATATTCTGGCGTCTTGCCTGTCTGGGTGGGTGGGGGCGGTCTTAGGGATTCTTTGGTTGGGCTGTTTACTAATGGCTCTCTGGCAGTTTCTTGATTGGGGAATTGCTTACTTGATTGTTGATCTGAAAGTGACCTTGGAGTTCATCTCTGCTGATCTGAGTGCTGGAGTCTTTTTCTCTTTGGGGCTGGTTGATTGTCTCTTTTTCATATCTATAGATGTTGTTAATGTCTATGTGTCAATTGATGGCTGATTTGTCAGAGCTTCTAGTAATTCCCTGGCATTTTTGGATTTGGCCTGGTTTAGGATTGTCAGATTTTTCCCAATTGAAACTAGGGTTAAATCTGCCTATATGTTGTGAAATTAAAGATTTTTTGTCATTTCACAGTTTTTCACAACACAAACTTCATTAGTTAAAATATTGTTTGATTGTATTGGAATATTTTCTAGCTTAATTATCCATATTTTTACAGCATTAAGAGAGAGAGAGAGAAGCTCTGTTCACAGTTTTACAAGAAAGGATGGTCATAGAGACCATAAAATCCAATTCACATTTCAGAGTCACATTCAGTGTTACAACATATTCAGATGAAATATTCCATTGTGAAAAGATGCTCATAAACTGGATTGCTTTTTGAGATACCCAATTCCTATAAGTCACCTATAACACCTAAGGCACATCAAATCTTTGGACATTCTTCATAAAATGAATCACTAGTTTCTAGCACAAGCCACCTTCACTTTTTTGAAAACAGATCAAGGTTGCCATGCAAACAAAGGAAAAATTCAGTTGTGACACCAAGGGAAATATAGGTGGGCATAATGATCTAGCATTCTCCTCCAGTTCTGCTAGAAGTGAGACTCAAATCTTCCTTCTCATCAGCTGTGTCCCAGTTCGACCTATTTGTTGATGGAATTTAAGTATTTGCTAAAAAGGAAAGCAACAACCTAAAATGGTTACTAATTGGACGCCTTCTTTATTGTCTGAAAATAACATTTGTGACGTAAGCAAAAAACATCTGGGTTGTATCTACCATGGCTTTCTGTGGTGCTAAATTATAAAGACTCTTTTAACTGTATGATTCTTTGAGCCCAATTTTGAAGCCCAGAAATACATCAGTAAGTAAAAGCAATTAACAGATCATTTCATGAAAAATGAATAATAAATTNTTAGAGTAATTTGTTCTGTATAGTTGCAAGATTGCTGTTTGATTAAAAAAAGATTAAAGTTATTTAGTTTTGTCATCTCTTGTACAGTTTCCAACCATCTAACTCAACAGATGACAGCCAGCAGCTTGATTTTAAATCCTTCTGTTCAGTGAAATATTAATGAAGGGACTACACAGTACTGAAATTTAACATTTATTATGTGCAGTTCAAATGTCTTTCATTTGACTTAGCAATATTCAGCACATTTGACTTAGCAGTATTCAACAGTATTATTTTATGTATCTTTTGAAAAGGGAAGGCAGTAATGCAATTATAATTGGCTTTACAGTTTTGCTTTTATATAATTGTTTACCTCTCAGCACAAACATGCACATGTTTAGTTGAATATAAATCTCACTGATTCCAGTTGGTCTTGGGAGAAAGTATGAAGATAAACTTAAGGAAGCATATCTAAAACTTAAGTCCCTCTAAATTCAATCTGCTTAGGAGCATTTCCATACAGCACCATTTCCAACCTCTCTCTCTCAAAAAAAAGCCATCTTTGAAATTGGGTTGATTGTAGTCTTCTCATTTCCTTCTGAAAAAAAGGCCAAGAAAAGACAGTCCTTCCTTCAAGCAATGTTCAAATCAAAAGCCTCCATAGTGGAGACTTTTATTCCCTGGATAGCAAACACACATTACACATAATCACACACATACAGAGACACACGGATAGAGAGAAAGAAATTTCCTAGATAATTCAAAAGCAAAGATATTCATATTGATCATAAGAAAATCATCCCAAAATTCTAATGAAGCATTAAAACTTTTGGGAAACCAAACTGCTGCTGTTTATATATCTGGATTTGTGAATAATGACTACTGGGCAATTTCTAGCTTGTATAGATTAGTGTAGATTAGTTTTAGACAATTCCCCGATTAGCTGCACATTGTTTCTTGTAACTTATTAATTATAATCATTATTAATTAATTATTATTATTATAATATATTATTATTTAAATCCCAGTAGAATTAATTTTAATTGATTAAGCAGTATTTTCTATTTGTGTTTGTGTAATTTTGATATCAGTTCCAGGATTTCCCAAAAGGGCTTCATAAATATTAATTTATGAGCCAACAGAGACTTTCAATGTAAATGAAATGTCCGATGCACCAATCAAGAACCTGTGCAGGAGATGTGCCAAAACTGGCAAATCATAAAGTACTATACAGTATTCCAGTCTGTAGATTATTGTATGGAAGAGTTCAAATGGAACCGGTATTTGCACTCAAAACCTGAAATAAGAGCTTGGCTTGCTATTTGGAGATTGGGGGGGTTGAGAGTGCAGGGAAATTAGTCCTAGCTGCCGTGCTGTAAGAATGCCAAGTAGACATTGAACAATCCTGTTCCAATGTCTTTCTTTCGTTAGATTATAATGTCCCAACAATCGGTTACCCTTTTTACAAATATACCTTAAGCAAAGATATACTGTATTTGTATTAGACAAGGTATCATTGGGTAACTGGGTTGATTCTATTCTATGTTAAAAAAAAAAAATCCTATGAAATCTGTTGCTTGCAGTTAAAATAAATGAGGCACAGGAGGGGGGAGAGCCCATTTTTCCAATCAACCTCTTTATTAAAGAGCACTGATTTTTTGATTGCAGTTATATTCTTTATCCCGTACTATTGTGCTTTCTTTTAGATGGAGAGCTTCCAATACAGAATGAAGAAGGATCATTGGAGAATGGACAGACGTTAAGTTCCAGCCAAATACCACTGCCAGCCCTATCTGAATTGGAGCCATGTTCAATATCTGGGGATTCCTGTAGTTATGAAATACTCCCAAATCCAGAGGTCATGGATGGAACAGGTAAATTTTCAATTCCATAATGAGTCACATAATATAGAAAGAAACCTTTGAGTCGACCTTGACTCCTGGTGATTACATGGACAAGCAGTTTTATCAGCAACTG